CACCCGGGTAAGGCGCTGCCCCCGGCCGGGAACTAGCCGCTGCGCAAACTGCAGGCATCTTTCCCCTCCCTCCGGCTCTGATGGCAGGCAGGACAGCAGCTGGGGTGGCCGTAACTTGGAGGCTGGGGGGGGCCTGGGGAGGGCTGCGGGGGGGGGAGGATCGTTCGTGAGCGCCCCCCCCCCAACACCCGTCGCATCTAGCAGGCACAGTTTCAGTGCACTAACCTTTCTCTCTTCTGTGTGTGTGCCTGCGTGCGTTCACAGACAGGCAGGCAGGCGGGCGGGTAGAAAAACAGCCACGTGCGTGTAGGCTGTGCAGCTCTCCCGCGCCTCCAATACTTTACAACTGAGGGCTGCTGGGAGCGGAAGGAGCTGGGGCCCGGGGGTGGAGCTTAGCCTGGAAGCAAGCCCCCGCCCCCTGACTTCCCTCCCTCCCAGTCATCCGGTGAACTCAGTCAGCAAAGCAAAGCAGGATTACGAAAAACCCTCCACTTTCAAAGGTGGGGGAGGCAGCTGGGACTCGGGAGCGAGCAAGGCTGGCTCGAGGAACTGGTTGCCCGGGGGGGCTTAGACCCTTGTTAGAAATTTCGGTGGGGGCTGACGACCCCCCGCCCCCCCGCAGATTACGCCGGTGCTCATCTGCCAGCCCAGTCTATGCTACAGGTCAAGCAACACGGGGAAATGCAGACAGTGGAACAAACCCCCGTCAGCGAGAAGAGCAACTGTCTCAGTCATAACACTTTCCTGAACATGAACAACTGATGAACGCATCCAACTCTTTCTCCTCCTGTGACCACAGTCCCCTTTATCCCCACACAGAAAGGAAATTTGCACGCATGTCTATACATATCTGTCTGAAACAGAGACAATGATTCCGACTTCCTTAGCTCTGTGAGAATGAGGGGATGGAGTTTTAGGGGACTGCACTTAACTCCCAGATCTTTTCTTTAACTGACCATTCAGGAAATATGAGATTCTTTTACCTCAGGGATAAGCTAGGGTTTTCCTTTGCTCTTTGTGCTTCAACAAGGCCTGAGCCTTTTGGCTGGGAGGCTCACGTTCACTACAATAAGGAATCTTTTCCATCTGAGCTTCGATGTCAGAATTTTGAGAAAGACAGAACTACTTTCTTAAGTAAGAATCTTTAACAGATGATGTCAGGGATTGAATGGGCAAACTATGTATTACATACAGGGGTCGTTTCGGAGAAAAAGAGCTAGGGGAACTCATTAGCATAACTTATTAGCATATGCCACACCCCCTGACATCACCGGAAGTGTGTCATAAGGCCACACACCCCGCACCCAATGGTCCCGGCCGCCGGTGCCGGCCTTGCAGCTCCACTGCCGAGCCCCATTAGGGGCCCGGCGGTGGACCTGCAAGGCCAGCGGGAGTGCAAGGAAGCCCCGCGAAGGCCCTCCCTGGCCCCAGGCAGGCAGGGGTGGGGAGAGGCAGGGAGGAAGCAACTTACCCTCCCTCTTCTCCTGCCTCCTCCTGGCTAAATGAGGGCCGGAAGCGGGGCGGCCGGAAGCAGGGGGCGGGGCTCCGTCATGTGCCCCGCCCCCCGTACCTCACCCGGGGAACTGCGATCCCCCGCGTTCCCCCCCGAAATGACCTCTGATTGCATACCAATATGTGCAGCAGAGAAGCAGCAGGATATTCGCCCTGCCTCTCCACCCTTTCTCTGCCGGCCATTTTTCTATTCAAAATCGCTTTCTCACACCCCCATCCATGCCCCCATGAATGCTGCCTCACACTGAATCAGACCGTCAATCCATCAAGGCCAGTACTGTCTACTCTGGCTGGCAGAAGCTCTCCAGGGTCCCAGGCTAAGGTCTTTCACATCACCTCCTGCCTGGTCCTTTCAAATGGAGACGCCGGGGATTGAACCTGGGACCTTCTGCATGCAAGTCTGATCTGCTCTTCCACTAAGCCACAGCCCCTCCAGACAATGGAGTTCCAGAGACGTATTTAGCAGGGGAGGGGAGTGCTTCTGCAGTCCCATGGGATAAAATGCAGTTGGGGTGGGGGCAGGTTTGAGCAGAAAGCTGGTGGGGAAAGCGGTAGACAAATGCGTATGGTCACACGTACCATAATCTCTCCTCAAAACAGCAGCCTCTGGAGGCGGCTTTCCGTTTAAAAGAGGGTTTTCTTACAAGCATTTGCATTTAACATACAGTTTACATATGCAAAACAGATGAGAAGGAAGAAGAAGAGGAGGAGGAAGACGAGGAGGAGTTGGATTTATACCCCGCCCTTCACTCGGGAGTCGCAGAGTGGCTTACAATCTCCTTCCCTTCCCCTCCTCACAAGAGACAACCTGTGAAGTAGGTGGGGCTGAGAGAGCTCTTTTGAGGACTGCTCTTGAGAGAACAGCTCTGAGAGAATTTGTGACTGACCCAAGGTCACCCAGCTGGCTGCATGTGGAGGAGTGGGAATCAAACTCAGTTCTCCAGATTAGAGTCCGCCACTCTTAAACACTACACCAAACTGGCTCTCCAGGGTATTGCCCCTACTGGTTACTGCCCCTTGCGAGTTCAGCTTTCAGAGAAGACCTTGTATTATCCGTCAGTTTCTCTCACCTTCTGCCACCTCATCCAGCAACACAGTAATCTTCTTGTCTTCTAATAAGCGTTCTTTCAAAAACTTCATGAAAATTCCATTGGCTAATCCAGACTGTTGAATTTCAAAAGCTTCTGCACCCTGGCATCTTTGAAATACAGGATAGTAAATAAGTGAAAAAGCAAGCGAACAATGAAAGAGGCAGGTTTCTGAAAAGAGTCTTACAGCAGTGGCCCCCAACATGGTGCCCATGACACCATGGCAGCAATCTTTCCTAGTGCCTGCCAAGTGGGTGGAGCCAGGTGCGGCTTTTGCCCAGCAGGGCTTCTGATTGGCTGCACAGATTTTTAAAAACATTGCTTCAGCACCCTCTGACAACTATCAGCACAACAATCTTCATTGTGTGACTGAAAGTAAGCTGCGGCAGCCATTTTGTGGCTGGCCCCACCTCCTGGAGCAGCCATTTTGTGGCTGCGCCCACCACACTGTGTCAGAATTCCAAAGGTGCCTGCAGGCTGAAAAAGGTTGCTTTACAGGATGCCAGATCCAGATGGGTAGCTGCGTTAGTTGTTGCAGCAAAACAAAGCAGAAGCCCTCAAGGACCAACAGAATGTATTCCAGGATAAGCGTTTGTGAGTCAGAGTTCAGTCCATCAGATGCACATACATGTCCTGCGCTTTAAGGTGCCATCGGGATTCTGATCAGTTTTACAGGATACCCCAAATCAGTTCAGATTTCACAGTAAAGCATATTCAGACATCAACAACAAAAAAACAGCAACTCTCTTTCATTTGGTATGCCCTAATTCAAGATCTCTGATGATACATATTAATGCCTAAGTGCAAGTTGATGCACAGCCAGAATTTCTGCCTAGCAGAGCTTTATATCCTGGGAAACGTGGCAGGTCCCCTTCAGGCAAGCAAACAGCTGCTGGAGTAATCAAGAGCATTTGTACACGAGCGCTCAACATTAGGGGACAAAAATCTTGGAACGTGACGTGAGGTTCTTCAGCACCACCAACTGTAGTAAACAGAATTTGATGGCTGAGGTTCCACCTCACAGATTTGCTAGGGGGCTTTTAGTAAACCACTGTCCTCTTCCCATAAAACGGGGAAAGGAAGGACCTGCTCAGGAATTTCACACTAGAATCAGAGAATCATAGAGTTGGAGGGGGCCATACAGGCCCACTAGTCCAGCCCCCTGCTCAATGCAGGATCAGAGTTGAACACCCCTGACCAGTGCTTGTCCAGCCGCTGCTTGAAGACTGCCAGTGAGGGGGAGCTCACCACTTCCCCCAGGAAGCTGATTCCACTGCTGCACAACTCTTACTGTAAAAGATTGAGAATTCTCTCCCGAACGAGTCTTGGACTCTCAAGGGCTCCTCCACCTGGCCAAGAGAGTCAAACCAAACCTGACTCTTAGCCTGAGACTGGCTCAGAGAGTTGGTTTTTTCCCCCCTTCCTGTGAACCAGAACTGAATCTAAACCCACATGTTTTGGTTGCCTTGAATCTGAACTAATCCCAGTTTTTTTTTTTGTTCCTGCTTAGAAATTCAGTTCTGGTTCAAGACAACCAAGAGATTTTAGATGAGGGCTCAGATTATGGCTGCCCATCTCCAGGTGGGGCCTGGAGATCTCCCGGAACTACAACGGATCTCCAGACACATAGAGCAGTTCCTCTGAAGAGAAACAGCTGGAGGATGGACTGTACGGCCTTATACTCTGCTGAGGTCCCTCCTCTCCCCAAATCCCACCCCCCCACACAGGCTGCACCCCCAGATCTGCACAGATTTCCATACCCTGGGATTGGCGACCCAATTCCAGCTGGGGAGAGGAAAAAGAACTCTCTCTCTGAATTGGCTTTTGGGCTAGGTTTAAATTTGCCCGCAGGCAGATGGTCATCTTTATGGTACTCACCACTTTTTTTTTGTTTGTTTAAAGGATTTATTTTATTAAACTTATGAATTGCCCACCCTGCAGGGCAGGCCCTGGGCTATTTGCAACACTATAAACAGTTAAAAATACAGTTGATATATAACTAAAATCACAAATAATAAACATGACGTTTGAATCAATCAGGATGGTGATAATTTATAAATAGTCCTCCACTGCCGGCCACACCGCTATCCCGCATGGCAGTGGCAGGGTATGTGGGGGCCATAGAGGGGAAAAAGAGAGAAAGGGTACCAGTCTTGACCTCCCATCGCTGCCCTCCACTAAAAGCCTGGCGGAACATCTCTGTCTTACAGGCCCTGCGGAATTGCATCAGATCCCGCAGGGCCCTGATGTTATTCCGCACGGAGTTCCACCGGGTCGGGGCCAGAACCAAAAAGGCCTTGGTCCTAGTCGAGGACAGTTGGACCTCCCTGAACCTCCCGGATGAGAGAATCTTGATTTAGAAAGTCAGACCAAATTACCCCAGTTATTCTGGGTTTTTTTGAAAGAAAAAGAAATCAAACCTACGGATTTAAAATAATGAACCTTACGTGGCATATCCAAAAACGATGTTAGCCGTAACCTTCAGGGCATCCAAGATCAGAATGGTGTTGTCATATTCATTCCTTCAATAAACAAAGGAATGCAAACATCAGAAGAACGATAAAACCCGGAGTAGACCAAACAACAGCAGCCACGGGGCCCCCCGGGCAAGCCAAGGGAAGGCATGGGGTGTGTGGCCTAACATGCGAATGAGCTACCGTGTCAGGGGTGTGGCCTAACATGCTAATGAGTATCTGCTGTTGGGTGCAGCCTATTATGCTAATGAGTTCCTGCTGGGCTTTTTCTACAAAAAAAGCCCTGAGACCAACAAAGCTTTATACTGGGTATAAGCTCTTGTGTGCATGCACACTTCTTCAAAATAATGATGTAAGCCACTTTGGGTTCCCATCGGGGAGAAAGCTGGGTTATAAATGAAGCAGCTAAAATCCTGTCATTTGCTCAGACTTCTCTGGCCTATACCCCCAGTTCCAGCCTCTCACCTCGTTGGTGTCTTGCAATTTTGACCGAGAACTGCCAACAATCCTGAGTCACAGGAAGGGCTGTTCAAAACCCCCTAGCCAGCCTTGCGTAACTCCTGTCTATTCAACCTTTCCTTGAAAACCTAACATGAGCAACTTGCTCAACTGCACTTATAACCTACAGCGATTCTGCATAGGCTTTCCCAGCAACGTTGGAACAGAAATTCCCCTCTGCGTGTCATTCTGCTTTCACTTTCTTTAATCATTGGATTTTATGGTGCCCTCCACACTCCATGCCGCTTTCACTTTCTTTAATCCTCGGATTTTATGGTGCCCTCCACACTCCATGCCGTTTTCGCTTTCTTTGATCATCGGGTTTTATGGTACCTTCTGCATAGATTTATGGTCATTTTACGGCCATTCAGGGGTGACTTTGCAGTCGGCAGCACTGCCCCCGAGTTATTTGAATGTAGTTTTGAGCTGTACCTTTTCCTCCCAGTTGAGAGAATGTGGAGCGAATGCTAGATGCAGAATCTCCCCAGCAGGGTCGGGTTTGTTTTGTTTTGTTTTGCAGAAGTCTTACCAGCCCTCACTGCAATTTAACTCAGGATTCTGTTTTTAGAGTCAGCATTTCTCCTTGTTTGTTTCTGGTGCCCTTCTGCATACATAAACAACTGTTAACACATCCCACCACTTCCCCCAGAGTGTTTAAAATGTTATCACTTAATCTAGACATATATTTAGCCCTGGAAAGATTTTCGCAAATAAAACCTGACCTTGTGGTAGATGGGTTTGCCAGGGAATGGACCACAAACTGCCAAGGATGTATCATCACCCATACTGACAACCTGGGCATCTCTCCCATTGTGATCACTCCCTATCTGACTTCTTGGGACTCACCAGAAAAACACCTGTACCCCACCTTTAAAAAAACGCTCCTGGAATTTAGAACCCATGACTCCATTGGACTTGGGCACTTAAAGGGTACTGATCTGAACAGAGATTACTCCTTAAAACAGTTTGAAACTCTCTTGCTACTGACTGTATTATATACAAGGCACTGCTCAGTGTATTTATACAATCCACAATACAATCAGCAAGCGGCCCACCGGATCAGAACAAGGGTCCGTGTAGCCCGGCACTGAGAGTAAAAAAGCCCATCTAAAAATTAGGATTGCTTTCCGTAGCAAGCTACTTGGATTGCCTTCGCTACAGCAATCCGATCTGGAGGCTTCACAATGAAGACTTCCTCTGAAACTCTTTCGTTAAGAGTGTCACACAAGTCGGGATTGCAAACGTTGGGGAAGATTGGCAGGCTACATGTTCCCACAGACAGGCTTCTGAGCGTGACCATTTCTAAATGTCCCTTATATGCTCATCCACTCCTGATCTGTCTGGCCCCTGTAAATGGCAGAAAGGAACCCCCGACAGGGAGTGACAAAACAAATTGGTGGAGCTCAAAAGCACCTTCAAGCTTTCTTAGCTTTTCACATATTTGTGGTTTAGTTTTTAAATGCGAGGCACAAAACTTTGGTGAAGAATTTCTTGTTGGAAGGCAGCACTGAAGCCACAGGTCTTTCGTTAGCCACGTAGCAAGTTTACTCCATCCCGTGCTATTCTGCTGTTGCTCTGAACCCCTGAGTCCAGAGCAGAATCTTGTGTGGTATAAACAGGCATTACCCTCTTACTTATTCTGTGTGCCTCCTTCTGTGGAACCAACGTAGCTATGTATCTTGACCTGTCCTTTATTTTTATTTTTTAATCCATTTATGCCCCACCTTTCTCCCCTGTGGGGAACCAAAGCGGCTTATGTCATCCTTCCCTCTTCCATTTTATCCTCACAACAACCCTGCGAGCAGTGTTCCCTCTAAGCTGAGTTAGTGTGAGCCAGCTCAGAGTTTTTTAAACTTCCGGCTCACACATTTTTGTCTTAGCTCAGGAAGGATGGCTCCAGAGAAAACTAATTCATGCAGTGGCCAAATCTCTTGCTCACAGCTTTAATGCCAGTAGCTCACAAAGTAGAATTTTTGCTCACAAGACCCCACAGCTTAGAGGGAGCATTGCCTGCGAGGCGGGTCAGGCTGTATGTGACTGTTCCCCAGCAAGCTTCTGTAATGTAATTTCAGAGGGACTACATCTCCCAGCAGCTCTGGCTCTGGAGAGGCTGGCCTTCCTCTTTCCAGAGGGGAGGGGAGAGAGTATTGGTGGGCCTCAGTCACACAGGAGCAGGCTGGTGGTTGAGGAACAGACTGGTGGAAAGCTGGGAAAAAGTAACCAAGGACTGGAGCAGAGAACTTCAGGGCTTCCTGCTGCAGGACTGAAGCTCCAAGTAGAGACTTTGTCATTGGATGGTGTCAGGCAAGCCCTGGGAAGAAGGGCCTGGGACCAGTGAACACTTCTTCGTAGACTGGCAAGCAATAAATGGTCTTGCCAGGGACTTGCAGACCCTAGTTACTAATTCCCAGGGGTCATTTCCTGCAGGAGCGCACAGGAGCGGGACTCCAGTAGTAAAGAGCCCAGGGGGCGGGCACATGCAACAAGCCCCACCCCCTGCTCCCAGCAGCCCTCAGTCAGAGCAAGAAGCAGCCAGGTAAGCTGCAGAGCCCCCCCCCCCCCCCCGGTCCAAAACAGTCCCGGTGACCCTTC